AATATGAATGAGGTGGCCTCAGATACAGGAGTCCCAGTATTAAAGAACTTAAAATTAGGACGCAAGCCAACTACCTGTAATTACAGGCCCTAGATGTTCATGTCTTCTGGGCCAGCCTGGGCTACCTCGATATGGAGACTACCTGTCCAAATACCACAACCTTCAGGACCCTCCGGAGCACAGCAGCCACAGGCCCAGTACCAGGGCTGCTCAGTCAATACTATTTCAAGACTCAAGTAGCAGGTGGCTCATCAAAGAGTACTTGCTGTTTGTTCTTCCAGAGGACCAGGGTTGATTCCTAGCACCTACATGGTTGCTCTTAACTGTAACTCTAGTTCAAGGAGATCCCACATCTCATACACAAACCAGGCAGTAAACATAATAAAAAATATAGAGATAAGACAGATAACCAGTGGGCGAGGCAGCACACACCTTCTTTAATCTCAGCACGCAAGAGGCAGGTGGATCTCTGAGTTCAAGGCCAGCCTTGGCTACAGAGTGAGTTCCAGGGCAGCTGGAACTACACAGAGAAACCCTTTCTCTTAAAATTAAAAATGAATCAACAACAACAACAAAAATCTTTTAAAGAAAATTCCTCTGGGAGGATGGGGAACAGACAGGTAGCCCCCCCTGCAGGTCTGAGTGAACTGTACCCTCTACCTCAGCAGCTTGTCTGCACACTTCCCACATTAACTAACAACCACCGACAGCTCTTCTTGGTCTAGCAAGTTTCCACATAAATAAATGAAAAGTACACCTCTTCAGAAAAACCGAAAACACCCCAAAATAATTTTGTTTTCTCTAAGAGAACCACACAAGTCTTTACTGAGGTTTGAACTGGGGTCTCACGGCCACGCTGGCCCTTAACTCACAAGGCAATCAAGTTTGTTAAGCTTCTGCCTCCACCAGGATTCTAAGAATATCCCAGCACTTCAGCTTCAGGCTTTGCCTCAATTTTTAGTTGAGAAAGGAATTTTTGAAAGGCAGGAAGTGGGCTGATCAGGGTGTGGGTGTGTCAAGACATGAATGTCTTCAGGGAAGTGAAGACATTGGGAGTCTGGGATAGAAGGCGGTGTGGGTGCTATGGAAAAGGCCCTTTTCTGTTTGTTTTCTGAGACAGGGTTTCTCTGTGTAGCCCTGGCTAGCCTTGAACTCAGTACACCAGGCTGGCCAGGCTGGCCTCTGATCCAGAGACTAGCTTGCCTCTGTTTCAGAGCGCCGGAGTGTGTGCCACCATTGACCCTAGAAAAGGTCCCTTTAAATTGGTACCAACTGGATCAGAAGAGCTTCCAGTGATCTCAGCCTCTCCATCCCCCCCCACCCCGCCCTTCCCTCTCACCCAATCTATTCCAGAAACTACCAAGTGCCCTGCACAAATGCCCACGTTTTGGCTTTACCTGGTGCAGAGCTAAGTCTGTCCTCCCACCTGGGCATCCAGATGACCTTGGACCTCTCTGATCTCCAGCTTCCAGTTCCCTAGTGCTCCAATGGATGCAAACACCATATCTAGTTTCTGAAGGGCTGGAGATAGACCCTACAGCTTAGCTTCATACATGCTACCATCCTACTGACTGGACCACATCCCTGTCACAGACACGTCACAGACAGCCAGGGTGACATAGGGAAACCCTACCCTCAAAAAAAAAAAAAAAAAAAAAAACTAAATAAATAAGTCATCCAACCATAATCACACTGTGCCAACCTTAACCTGTTGGGGTTTTGTTTTTTGTGGTTTTTTTTGTTTTGTTTTTTCAAGACAGGGTTTCTCTGTGTTGTCCTGGCTGTCCTGGAACTCACTCTGTAGACCAGGCTGGCCTCCAACTCAGAAATCCGCCTGCCTCTGCCTCCCAAGTGCTGGGATTAAAGGCGTGCACCATCACTGCCTGGCAACCTGGGGTATACAATGTATACAATGGGGTATACAATGTATACAATGGTATACAATGGGGTATACATTAATGTATTCCCGATACTGGTAAAGGAGATGGGACAGCAGACACCAAAGTTGGAGGCTCTGAGGGATCCTGTCTGGCACACCCTCTGGTTTGCCCCCACCTCCCCAGGGGGTATTGAGCCCAAGCTCTCACACCAGCCAGGGAGGGCTCTCCCACTGAGCAGAATTTCCAACCCCCAAACTTTAATCTCCGGGATTTAGCATGCCCACATGCAATGCAAACACTATGTAAATAGTTTTCAGGCTGCATTGTTTAGGGGAGGAAAGGCCAGAAACAATAGCCAGCCCAGGGCCCTCATTGTCAATTTCCAGAGCTTGCAAAGGGAAAAAGGACAAGAGGGCTAAACGTCTTCACTTCTGACCATTGTTCATAGATCACTGTACCTCCTTTCCCTGGTATCCTGTGTGTGCTCGGCATTCAGCTGAGAAGAAATCTATGGCACAAAAAAGGTTAAGCAGCACCTCTGCTCCAGAAGGATGCACCAGCTCAGAGTGATTTACTTCTGGGATGGCAACCGCCTTCACTGTATACACAAGCCCCAAAGCCTCTCTCCCCCTCCAGCCTCACCGCTGCTGCAGCAGCAGCATCCCACTTAAAACTGTAGCCGATGTTTGCTTAGGCAGTAAAAAACCACCTCGTCCATACCACCGTCAGCAAATAATGGGACGGAGTATTTGCCAAGGAGAAAGAGGACCCTGTTAGGAACAATTGCTGGCTATGCTTAAATTAACCTGAAGAGAAGGAAAGCAAAGTCCACGGGGATATCGCCAGTAAGCATGGCTTCCATCCCCCACCCCGAATTTTAGGAATGTTATCTCTTCAGCATCTAGTTATCCAGTAAGTTGGAAGAATGCAGTAAACCCAGCAGGGGTCTTCGATTCAATCTTGCCCAGATGAATGGAAAATACGCTTACTATTGTATAGGAAGAAAGCTAATCAACCAGGAGGCCAATCCCCAGCAGAAGACACTCAAAACAGCTAAAAACAAAAAACAAAAAAATTGAAATCTGTGTATCTTGATAAAAAGCCTGGTGCTTATCTGTTACTAGTCCCCTATTAAAGAGAGACAATGAGCAGTTTACCTAAAGCACACAGAATCTTAGACCCTGCCCTTCTCCAGGATAAATGCTTACCAAAAAAACAAAAGGAATTACGTCTCTGGGTATTACAGACCCAGCTGTAAGGACTTTTTTAAGTCAGTTTCATACAGCAAGCCTTAAAATCTACATATAGAGGTTGAATTTGACCCGAAATTAAGTTTCTACTTAATCAAGAGCTGTAGAAATCAAAAGCAATCACAGATTAAAGTTCAGGGGCCTGTGGAAGAAGATTTTGAAAGGGGAAAAGGGAAAGCCAGGAAGGGTGAAGACGCTGGCAACATCTGATGAATCACCCCAGATAGACCAGCTCTCCTCTGTCCTCCGAATGAACACTGTGGCAGCACACACCATCAATAATTGAGGATTTTAAGGATAGACGGCTCACAATACACTTTATATAAAATACGCCTTTCATAAGTAAGTGATACTTGCCTCAACTGGAACAAGCTTGCCAACTCTAAGAGGGATCAGAAGTCTCTCTCCCTGGGAGGAAGAAACAAGGCTGTCTAGAGCCTGTACCAAGGCTTCACCCTGCTTAGCTGTTTGCTATAAAGTACAGATTAAAGTGATTATGGTAACCTCCTAAATTCATCTTCCATTGTTTTTCTCAAATCACGTTAGTTCCGAGTTGCTTGCGGGGAAGTCTCCTCATCAACCCAGTTACTAAAGACAATTTGAAAAATCAAAAGGGGACAGGATTTAGTGGCAGATTCTTCTAATCCCAGCTTTAGAGGCAGAGACAAGAGCATCGCAAGGCTGGACAGGTTAGAAAGCTGTCATGGCTACTACACAGACGGACTGGGGGCTGGGGATCACCAAACCAAAGCAGCTCCAAGCACCTCGGCTGCCCCTTGCTCTAGGACCAACTACAAACTCTCCCATGGACTCTAGTGAAGGCTAAAGTCAAGTGGGAGGGGAACCACTGGCTGACCCTGGCCACCCAGGGGCTCCTATTAACTTCCCGTTAGTAAAATCCCAAAGCTACTTCAGTTGTGAGAATTAACGGTGAGGTCCCGCAAGGTCCCAGACTGGAGCCTGCCACAGAGCCCGTTCTAGTGAAAACTCATCCTGAAAGAGATTACCTATCACACTTAACACAAAATGACTCTATAGCAAATCTGCCACTGCACACAAGGCCCCAAAAGCCGGGTGAGCAGGGGGTAGATGGACCCACCTAGGCAAGGTTACACCCAGAATCCAAAGCCGATCCTCCTCTTACCAAACCCTGCCAAAATTCTTTTCCTCAAGTTCCCACTTGACATTTTACATCCACAAGGAGGAGATTCTAAAAGAACCGTGCCTTCAGCCACCCAAAATGGATCCCCAGCCCCCTACTTGGGGGGGAGGGGCTGGAATCTGCTAACCACCCCCCCATCACCGAAGACAAAGTTTCGTTTACTGGCGGTTGAGCACCACTGAGGGTTAGAGCGCATTTTACATGCAATTAAATGAATAAAAAAGGCTGTGTGCAAATTAGAGCCCCCTCCCCCTTTGGGGAAAACCGAAATTCGCTTGAAACCTAACTAAGCCAAGCACAGGCAGGTCAATGGAGGATGGAGGAACGCTAAATTACTAAAAACCTGGGAATCGTAATAGCTGAAGGTTGTAATCCAGTTTAGCACAAAAGGCATTTGGAACTCTTTTGAGAAAATGCTAATTTTCCTTTAAGTACTGTAAGCCCCTTCTCCTTGACCACCTGCGGATTTTTTGATCTGCTAATTATTGCCCGCATTTCATTTTCCTTGCTCAAAAAAAAAAAAAAACAAAAACCTACATTCTACAGACTGACCAAGAGGGATCAAAAAAACTCCCAAAAAGATGAAGATTTATTAATCTAAACTGAGGGTGATCCCAAAATACAGCCATTTAAAAATCTTTTTTTAAAAAGAAAAAAAGTTCTTCCCAAGACCTCAATTGAGGTCTACCCCCTACTCCCCTGCAAACACCTTTTAAGAATTCTTGGAGAAGATTCCCAAACACTGTAGGTGATGCTGAAGGCGGGGAACCCCACAGAGATCACCTGGTTGCGGGTCTCTGGTGCAGCTAAGCCTCACTCACCAGGTGTGTGTCGCGGTCCGCACATGACCGGTCTCCAGAGGGCGCACGCACGCCAGCGGCCGGGCTCCGACCGCGGGTGAGCCGCAGAAAACTCGCTTCCCAAACCGCGGTGGCAGCGCGCGGCCAGCGGCCTCAGGGTGCAGCCAGGTTAACCGCGACTCCAGCCAGTGGAGATTTCGGAAGCCGTTCTATAGCAAGCTACCCCTTCATGCCGTCCAACCCCAGAGTCCCAACCACCAGCTAAATAGGAAAAAAAAAAACCCACTAGTATGCACTCACCCCAAATGGAGGGGGAAGGGAGGTCATCGCAGGACCAGGGGAGGGGTCAGGGCCGGGAGCTCGCCCCTCCTCTCTAGAGGAAGCAGGCGGGCTGAGGGTTAACCCTTTTGTTCCAGGTGGACCAGGCGACACAGCCTCTCCACGATCTGCCCCCCCACCCCCAGCTCCCGGGGCCAAGGCACAAAGAGTCCATCTCAGCTGCCCGGCCCTCTGATGTGGGATGCTCCAACGCCCCAAAACTCACATCCGCCCCCTCGAACAAGCAATGACCTTCCAGTTGCCCTGAGGGGGGGATACAATGAGGTAGAAGGTCACTGAACTTTGATACACTCAGGAAGTTTGGGAAAAGTGGATCGCACTCCCGGGAAAACAGGAGCGCCCAAGCAGAGCGCGCAAAGTCCTCCGCGCACCGCCCACCATACGCGGAGAGCTGGAATCGAGCGGGAGGCCCAGGGGGACCATCCACCCCACGTTCCCAGTTTCTCCGGCGACAGTTCGGCGGGCAGGGACGAGGGGCTCGCCCGCAGTTCCCGGCCGCGCCGAGGTCCTGAACTCTGTGGAGGCGCAGGCCGGGTCAGCCGCAACCCGACCTCTCCCCTTTCACCTCCCGGGCGTGTGCTGAACAGTGCCGCCCGGGGGATCCAAGCAAGAAAATAAATAAGTAAAGGAGCGGGGGTGCGCTCCAGCGGGGGTGACCATGCACCCGCTGCCCGGGCTCCGGCTCGCACCCTCCCGCTGGCCGCGGTTATTTTTAGATAGTCGGAAATCAAAGATGGCTGGAGGTCAGGCCCCGAAAGGTTAGGGCGAGGATCCACAGCAGGCGGCGTTGCCCCCGGGAAAGGCGGAAGGCCGAAAAAAAAAGTAAACAAAATATCTAAAATTACAAAAAAATAAAATAAACGCTCTGAAAGGGAACCAAACCCAGCAGCTTCCCCCGCCCTCTGCGCTGCGCGGGTGGCCCGTACTCCGGCCTGGGGGTGGGGAGAGGTCGCGCCCCCTCCCCCCACTAGGCCTGGGAGGGGCGCGTGCAACAGATCGCCCTCCTCCGGGGGGTCCCCCAGAGGTGCGCCCCTCCCCCAGGGGCCCCCAAGAGGATAGTAGAGAGGGTGGGGAGACTTTGGGGGGTCTCTTTCTTTTAAAAGCGGCGCCACTAGAGAGGGGGCGAAGATAGCCCCAGTCACCGATGTAGGGGAGTGCTTATGTATCCAAGCGAGGGAAACCAATTATGGGACTGGGGACAAGGAGAGGGAAGCTGGAGAGGCACAGTGTTGAATCAACTTTACAATAAGAGGGAAAGAACTGGAGGGGTGGGGGGGCTTGCAAAGGGGTGGGGGGATTGAGGCTTCCTCCCTCCCTTCGCGTCTCTCCTTTCCCGGAACAGAATCCCCATTCCACAATCGGCTCCGGGAACCCGCGCCCTCGAGGGACGCGCGGCAGTGCTGGGAGCACCTTCCCGGGGCGCACGGACAGTCCGGCGCACGGACGGGGCCGCAACCGCACTCACCCGGTTCCTCCGCCGCCGGCGCCTCTGCGAAGTCGAGGCTCGGCTGCTGCAGCGGCTGCTCGCCCTGGCCCTCCTCCGAGTTGAAGTGTTGGGGCTTCGCCTGCTTGCGCCTCGACATGGTGCGCGCATCGGGGCGCCGGGAAGAGCCCTGGTGACTTGCCCCCTCTCCGCCACCAATTCCTGGAGTTGGGAAATTTTACCCCCCTTCGGCCGGAACGCGCATGTCCCAGTAATTATTATTATCAATAATGCATTGCGATTTATCATGAGCTCTGACAGCTGATTGGCCTGGGTCCAAGACCTCAGAGATCATTTAAATAAGTCCTCATTGATCAGGGAGGGGAGAGGCATGCTGGGCCTTGTAGTCCGGCCCTACATGTGACAAAGGCGTGTTCATCTGGGAAGCATAGCTAATTAGCATCCGGGCTCAGATTGGCCAAGGGGTGGACGAATTGGGGGGGTGGGGGGGAGGAATCATCCTTGCGGCCGGCCACTATCCGAATTCTGGGACGGAAAAAGGAAAATTGATTTATTGAAAATCAGGGCCGGACCTGAAAGTTCTAGAACCGATGTATCTCGGTTACGCGCTCCACAAAATTATTGTAGTAATTGGCGTAGTTGATAACTACCAGCTGAGAAAGGTCTCTCCGCTCAAAGAAAAATACTTGGGTTCAACTTTTCCCTGTAAAATCAAACCTGACAAGAGACTCAATTTTTGTTATTATTGAAATGTTAACATTGCGTTTTGAAATGGCCGGTGGTGCCTTCTGTCCATCCCAAGACTTCAGGCTGCACCCACCTCCCCAACCTACCTAATTTCATGCTCTTCATACCCACCCATCCTTAAAATGCTGAGAGATACTCTCATTTCATGTCCACGAGACAGAGTTTGTTGTCAACTTCCTGAAATTTCAAAAACTCTTCTAAACCACTGTCTCCTAACTGTGGAAAGATTAAAAGCAAATTTGCTAGAGATGGTATCAGAATAGCAAGCAGTTGCAGAGTCTATCCCTGAAGCTGCTCGGTCCGCAGAGGGAAACAGTGGGCTCTCAAAAGGTACGTGGGTGTTTGTACTTAACTGCTTTCTAGGACTCTGCAATACAGAGCTGATTTACTTAAGAAAAACCACTTCCTTCTGAGGTTGTATGATCCTGATTCAGGGATGCCTAGAATTTTCTAAGAGGGTGTGTATGGATATAAAAATTTATTTCACAAATCTACCTAAGTTTAATTGGCTAACTCCCTTGCACAGTGTATGGGCTCAGTGTTGAAGAAGTTCAGCTAACTGGTCAGCCCCTTCTATGGCTTTCCTGTGGGACCTGGGGACTGGTAGATCCTTATTTGGTGGCGTTGCCTTCTTTCTAAGGGACTGGGCAGACATCCTTTCCGCCATCTTTCTGCTTTGCATTTCTTGATTAGCTATTTGTCATTTCCTGTTTCTGAGAAGCTAGTGAGGAAGGAAGGGGAAAATGGGAGCCGACCTCATGAGCATGTTCACCTGTGCCTGTGGACAGCCCAGAGCTGAATAAATCAGCTGGACCACAGGTTTGATATGCGCAGCTACCACTGAGACCCTACAGAAGAAAGGCCTGGTTTCCAGTTCCGGCCGTTCTTCTGGAATGTATCCTGAATTACTTCGAGCACAACATCTAAAAGAAATAGGACGGTCCCTCCTGCCAGCCAAGGTGGAGCTCGCTGGGAAGAATTTGTTTTCATGCTACATAAAAGCACTTTAAGATTCTGATACTGAGTCAGAAGGTGAATTAACAGCTGCCTTCTCTCTGACTAATCTACCAATATTCTCAACACCTTTCTGGGAAGGGAGCAGAGCAGGCGCTATAACTCACCAATTGAAAGGAATGTACAGTTTACAGCTCAAGAAAGATGAGCCCTTAAAGGAAAACATTGTGTAATATAGTTCTTTTCCTTTAGCTAGCTAGTGACAGTTAAAGCATAGCCGCCATATATGCCCTGGAATGAGGTGGACTCTTGGGCCACGTCAGTTAGGATAGTAAAGAGATGAGGGAGATAGTTTTCATAAGGCTAAGGTAGGAAGATCTCAAGCTAGGGGGTTGGGGGACTAGGAGGAGGATGAAGCAGAGGACAATAGTTTTTTATTTCTTTTGTTTGTTTGTTTGTTTTGGGCTTTTTTGGTTTGTTTCAGACAGTGTCTCACATTGCACAGGTGGCCTTCAGTTCCTGGTCCTCATAGGCTTCACACACACAGAGACATACACACACAGAGTCACACACAGACACACAGACGACACACACGCACTTGGATTTCAGGCACAAGACACCATGACACTGCACACACTCCATGTTTATCGGCTGTCTTCATTTTGTGAACCCCATCCAGGAACCCTTAATACTTCCCGAGACAAGGAACCGACAGACAGAAATGGAAGAAGCCTTTGGAGAGAGCCAGAAGCCAACAGAGGGCAAAGAGTGGAAGGCAAGTTGTTATTCAATAGCTTACAATGCCTTGAGTGGCCAAAAGACCTGGGCAGGGCCAGATATGGGAAAGAGATAGGATTTTAGGGAAATGTCTTCTGTCAGGTAACTGGGCTTGCAAAGCCCTATTGTTTTCAGGGTTGGCTCTAGGCAGGACTTCCCAGCAATGCTGGTGACTGGTAAGTTTTTGAGTTGTCTGTGAAGGCTGAACCACTACTGTTCAGAGAGAGAGATTTGGGGCACATAGCCCATTTCATTCCTGTGACCATCAAGGCTCAAACCTCCCTTGGGCACATTTATTTAATTTGTTTATTCGTTGACCTTAACCTGGGTCCTCTGCAGCCTGGGCGGGCTGACATTTTGACACTATGGAGCCTAGGATGATGGTAAACTCCCATCTTCCTCAGCTTGAGTGTTAGGATCACAGATGTCCAGCTCCCTCTGGAGCTAAGGATGACCTTGAAAACCCACCAATGATTGCAGAACTGTGCCTTCAGAACTTTCCAACTGAGGTGTATAGGTCTCAGTCTCTCCACAAACCACCGCTATCTCTTCTCTTCCATTCTCCCCTCCTCCTGGCCCACTGCTGAGACCCAGTTTCATCATGTCCACCTAAACCCAGCCTTCCTTCTATATTACGTGTGCCCAACATCTCTTCCTTCCCTCCTTTGGTACCCACCATCTTTGATTCTTTTCTTTTTATGACATAGACTATAGTTCCAGATTTAGGACAGATTTCTTTTTGTGAGGGTAGGGTAGAAGCTAGAGGGTGAGACAGGGTCTCAGGTACTCCAGGCTGGCCTCAAACTTGTAACAATCTTCCTGCCTCAGATTCTCAATGGAATCTCCTTATACCATGTGGGTCATCGGGCTTGGCAGCAAGCATCTCTAGAGGCCGAATCATCTTGCCAGTCCTCGGTTATGTTTTGCTTTATTTGAGACAGAATGACCTCCAGCTTCATAAATAGCCAAGGGTGATGGTGAACTTCTGATTCTCCTGTTTCTACCTCCCAAGCGCTAAGATAACAGGCATGCACCACGGTGCCCCATCTAAGCAGGGCTGGGAATGGAACCCAGGGCTTTGTGCATAGCGGACAAACATTGCACCAACTAAGCTACATCCCCAGCCCCCGTGTTCTTGATTTCTGATAATCTTTCAGCATCCTCCAGTTTCTCATGTCTGTCACTTCATTGGAGCGGGAGGATGAAGCAAGGGTATCCGTTTGTCTCACCGCATCCTCCACACTGTGTCCTCTCTATGTACCAGTGGTAATGGGACACGGCCGTCACGGTCATGATAAGGAGCCAATGGTTATGATGCCAGGAACCGTGAATATAAAATAAAGTGTCAGAGGCAACGATGGGAGAGGACGGGAGAGGATGCAGTGTGTTAAATGATGCAGGCATTACAGACAGCTGTTGGAATTCCCTAAAATTAAAAGTGGAAGCATCATATGAAATATCAACAAGCAAGCAGGCTCTCACAGAGCTGTCTATGTTCATAGCTGAATTACTCACAATACTTGCAAGGTAGCAGCAAGGCAAGTGTCCCTCAAGGGATGGATGGATAAACACAGTCTGGAATGCAACACATTCCTTTAAAAGGAACAGCATTTTTCAAACTGGGCATAGTGGCTCCCATCTTTAATCCCAGCCGCTTAGGAAGCAGAAGCAGGCAGATCTCTGTGAGTTTGAGACCATTCAGATCTACCTAGTGAGTTCCAGGAGAGCCGAGTCTGTATAGCCAGACTCCGCCTCCAAGAAACCCAAAATCTTAAAGCCAAACAAAGAAAAAGGGAAGGCCATTCTGACACATGCTACAGTATAAGTCACAGAGGACAAGTACGGCAGGTTTGAGAGAGGCGTCTGTAGTGATCTCGTGATTCGGAGATGAGTCATTTAAACCAGGCAACGGGGTCCAGGTTTGCAAGAACAGGGATCTGGATAAAGAAGTAGCTTTTTAACTATATTTGTCACAGAGACAAATTTGGAGATGCTTAACCCACTTCATTTTGGCAACCTGTTTTTTCTCTGTATACATTAACATCTAGTTAGAGCCTTATAGTTCCTCCTCCCCCTCCCCTCCCTCTCCTCTTCTTCTTCTTCCTCCTTCTCTTCCTCCTCCTCCAGATAGAACCTAGGGGCCTTCCCTTGCTAGGCAAAGGCTATGAAAGCAAGATAACCCATAGCTCCTTACCCTCTTCTTTTTTATGAAACAGAGTCTCTATAGTCCGGGCTGGCCTTGAATTTCTAATCCCCCTGCCTCTACCTCCCACATGCTGAGACTGCAGGCCTGTACCCCCTGCCTACATCAGGTATATCCCTTAAGCCTTTGCACTAAAATTCACTTTTAAAAAGTATATCTAGAGGTCGAGCGCACAGAACCCTCAGAAATGGAAACCGCGCTCACAGAGGCCTCGGTGGGGTGTTTGTGGGAAGCGTATCTTATCATTGGGAGGAAGAGAACAATTATAAACTGAATCGTGGTGTGGCTAGAATTGTAGGGATGAGCTAGAAACCATCCAACCGCGTGCTTATGGCAAACAGCATTTGGTGATAGCTTTATGCTGTATGTGTAAAGCTTATCTAAGTGGGTAGGGCTGTGGTTGTTTTAGACAGGGTCTCACAGTGTAGCCCTCACTGGCCTGGTACTCACTGGGTAGA